TCTGTGTTTTTGATGACGGAGCAGCCCCTCCCGACCATGCTGTTCCGACTCCGCCTCCTCGCCGCCGGGATTGAGGCCCACCCGGCGGGGCTCCTGATCCAACAAGGGCTACTAGCCAGCTAACCAGATGGTTCATAAGACTTCATCGAACCGCAGTTCATCAATTCCGCGCCACTTGCTAGTCATTGCAGGCAGTGTATGCATTCACTAGGGACTGAGCGAACACCGATCCAATAGGCTTCCCGAAGTAAGCAAACTTCGCGTCGGTGGCCAGGGGTCATAAACAGGCAACCACCTGCCAGGCCGATGCCGATGTGAGCAATCCCCGGGTAATTCAGCGCGAGGTCATCTTTAGTAGGCTGTAGGGGGCCCTATTTCGGTAAGGATAGGTTATATAAGTCCCTTGTATTTATAGTACACTTCCGCATAAGAAGTATGAACTTTTTCACATTGGTTCTCGATGTCGTTATAAATTGAAAAAAATATGTTGTAGAAGAAGGCAAAAAAATATTCTCCATTTTGTGTGCCTTCGATTTTTTTTAAAAACTGGTAATTAATCATCACATCAAGTTCGGGCGCTAGCAGTGAACGCGAGACCAGCTAATGGTGGTACGCATGTGGTGGCCTTAGCTGTGCCTATCTCTGATTGGAGCGAGGATTCGAATGGGTCAGACCTTGTCGTTCCAGCGATCGCCTGTTCGCCTATATCAGGAACATAATTACCTAACTGGAAAAGGAAGGAGACTTGTCGAGCACCGGATCAATTGGGTTTATTGTCCCGAGCTTTCGAACTCTTACAGGAGTCCATCTTTAGAGATAAGAAGCAGCAGCCAAAAGGAGGGCCCTTATAGTGGGCATGGGCCAATCAACTGTCAGAGGTTATCAGGTTGTCAAGGCATAAAAAACAGCAACCAAAAAGGACCGGGGGGACCTAGCCTACGATGGCCGCTCCTTGAATATCGAAGTCGTGGCCAGTCTCTGTCGTGTGTGCTGCAAGCTGCGAGTTTGGGTCTAGTGTCCGAGCCGCCAGTTTGTGCTCGTGTGAGCGAGTCTGCAGTTTTCTCCCTCCTTCTCCAACATAATTACAGCCTCCATGTTTGCAACGTATCTTGTAGACAACTGTGGAGGTTTCAGTAGGCGGCAGTCTGTCTTTAGGTTGCATCACACGGCGGCGTATTGTCGCCTGAGGTCGATAGACTATGCCCAATCTAGCGGGTTGTAACAATCGTGAGACTGCTTCGGAGACTCCTTTTATGTAGTCACAAGGCCCAGCAGACTATCGTAGGCCGAAGAACCTCAAAAAGGGAAATACTGACGCTTGAGGCATAGTACTCAGATGCCAACTCCATCAAAAGACATCTAGACCTTCCCGCGCCCTACAAAGTATTACGCCATTGTGTGTGCAAATGACAGAACAAGGCCAAACTGAAGGCAAGAATTGCAAGCGAAGACGACCCCACGACGAACCGGCAGGATGAGGAGGCAGGGTTACCAAGAACATCTACGGTGGAGACGAGGCGTTACACTAATTGCTGTTTATGACCCCCGAAAGACCCTCGACTTCACTGACAGGTAATTAGCGTATACCGCTATAATTGCCCGCCCCCGCCCATCCTTTTAGAGTGCTGTTACGCCTTAACAACAAAATGACCTCTGACAATTGATTGGCCCATTCCCGCTATAATTATCCTCCTTTTGGTTGCTGCTTCATAGCTCTGAAGATGGATTCCTGTAAGAGTTTGAAAACACTGGATAAGAAAACAAAGTGATCCGCTGCTCGACAAGTCTGCTTCTACTTTATCCATGCAAATATCTGGAAGGCGAACCTTTTCATTCATTCGTGAACAGGATTACTTACCATTATATTAGTCCGGTTCTCCGGCTGTTGGTCATCCAGATAGCCCAGGGAGTAATGCAGGAAGGTGATGTCATGATAGTCGGTCCATTGCACCGAATCTGACCGAAGGCCGATCCAGGCAGTACTGCTGTCAGCGGGAGCGACGGCTGCGAACAGCGCGCTGAGAAAGTCTGCAAAAAAGACGAAGAAGATGGTGTAGAAAAAGCATTCAAAACCCTATTGGGAATACGCCGATTTTCATGATTAATCATCGTACAGAAAGGCCCCTGAGTGCAACTTCACCCAGACGTCATGAGAGCGCGCGCGCCGTGGCTATCGATTTTTCGTCATATCAGATTGGTCCCCTGTCGCTGACGCCTGTTCATGGAGTGGACTTAACGAATACCCCGCAGCCTTGTTGTAAGAGTGACTTGCTAGACTTGTACTGTCTGAGTACACGTCTACTCCTGGCCGATTGGCTTCGCTTGCTCTCTCGGGCTGGCGTTCGGGGCAACACTCGGGTTAGTTCAGAGTTCGTGCTAATTAAAACTAACAGGCGCGGGTCGTAACAATCCCCCAACAAGACTACATTGTCTTGTTCTGTCTTCTGTCTGAAAAAAGGCATTCTTACGCAGGCAAGTGTTTTGTAGAATTAAACTACGCCTGAGCACTATAAAGGGGAATTCAGATGCTTCCTGTTTCCTAAGCCAAATTCACTGGAGTCGGTGATCAAAAAAGCAAGTAGTTGCTTTTTTTTTTTTCATGTTTCGTACTACAGAGAGTAAGAATAGGTTCTATCAAGGGCGAAGTCGGACAGACGACCTCCAGAATTCCGATCGAATGCTTTGTTTACTGAACAGTCAGAGGATTGCTAATGGAAGCGAATATGCGAGTTCCAGGAAAAAGTTCAGAAGTAGGAGGTGCGAACGCCAGAACAAGGAATTTATTTGCCTGACGTTTTAGCTGTTCTCTTGAACGCTTCATCAGATTTTGGTGATACTGATATGTCCCCAGGAGTAACATGTAGAAGGAGGCAAAGCCGGTCCTGATGGAAAGAATCTTTATTCACGACAGTACGGAGACGGCAGAAGAATGAATCAGCGTGTCCACTACAGCGTATTATAAGGCGTTGGTCCTGGGCTATCGCACGAGAGGGGGAGTTCTGGCGTGGTTTCCCATGCTGCGGGACGTTCTAGAAGATTTGCAGTGCACGTGGGAACGGGCGTCACGTGTGCTCTGGGCGCGCGCGGCCAGTAGGTTGGTTGGTTGGTAGCCATTGTTGGATCAGGGGTCCCCGCCGGAGTCCAAACTGGGTGC